GAAGTTTGAGCCGTACGCTTACACAGCTAAAAATCACAGCAGCAAGAATGCAAACTACAAGGTGTCCTGGTGCAGGGAGTGGTCTGAAGTAGCTGACAAAAAAAAAAGTTGTCTTCAGAAGATGAGATCAGATTTCTCCCCAGTGCCTAAATTTGCCATGCAATCAAACTTTTTTATGATTTATCCTTTTTTACGACATAATTAAGAGACTACATTATAATGGGATATTGTCTCCTTAAAAACGAACTCATCTGTTAAACACCAGTAATAAAAGAAAGTGTAACACTGTCACTTTTTATAATGAAAAATGGGAAGCAATTTTCACTTCAAACCTATTGAGCTTAGACAGCAGATTAAAACACAGATCTTTATGCTGACTATAAAAGTTTTTATGAACATGGGACCGCTACACTTTTAATGTCATTGGGGCTTTACCCTATTATTACAAATCTTGATTAGAATTTCCTTACCGATTCTTTCAAAATAATAAAAAATATTATTATATGTAGCACTACTTTTCTCAGTACTTTTAAAGAAATAAAATATGTGCTGGGAAGACTGAATTAAAACCATTGAAACAACCCTCGTAAGGAGAAATCTTTCCAGGACTAAAATTTCACAAACTTTTTGAATTCAGTCCTAAATGGGCTCACACGTCAGATCCCTCCAACCCACCAGCAATCATCTTCTTTGTAGCTGATTTTACCAAATTCTTTCAGACAACTCCAGATTTTATACTTTCCCCATAGGGCCACCATCAAGGGACATCTAGACTGACCCCCTTCTTCTGGGCAGAAAGGTACCATCCAAACTCTTCTGACATCAATTTGCTTCCTCTGTTGAGTTGGAAGGGATCCTTGAGACACATCTATATAGGTCATTACTTTTTTTACAGCCCAGCACAGAGATTGGCTTAGAGCAAATCAATTTATTCTCCCCAAAAGCAACAGCAGCAATAAGAGCAACAACAGCAATCCCCTTGAATGTCTGTCTATATGACACACAATTAACCACATAACTTCAATTTAGCACATATTTATACTATTAGTTTAGTCTTACTTGGCCACGGTAGTCCACGATCTGGTTACATCCCGTTTAGACTACTGCAACGCTCTCTACGTAGGGTTGCCTTTGAAGACAGCTCGGAAGCTCCAACTAGTCCAACGCTCGGCAGCCATGATTTTAACAGGAGCGGAGCGCAGGGAGCATACAACCCCCCTGTTGCGCCAACTCCACTGGCTACCGATCTGCTACCGGGCTGAATTCAAAGTGCTGGCGTTGGCCTTTAAAGCCCTAAACGGTTCCGGCCCACGCTACCTATCTGACCGCATCTCTGCCTATGAACCCACCAGGACTTTGAGATCTTCCGGGGAGACCCTGCTCTCGATCCCGCCTGCTTCTCAAGAGATAGGGCCTTCTCGGTGGTGGCTCCTCGGCTGTGGAACGCCCTTCCTACGGACATTAGACTAGCACCATCTCTAATGGTATTCCGCAAAAAAGTGAAGACCTGGCTGTTTGAGCAGGCGTTCGAATAATTAGTGCAATGATTGTTTAATGAACACTGGAATGGAACAATGGATGACGAATCTGGAACATGTTTTTGATGATGAGACGACAGTGAATGGGTATTGTAGTAACTGTTTATTAATTGTGTAATGTGTTAGGCTGTTAACTGTTTTTATACTGTAGCACTGAATTTTTGCTGTTCGTATTTGTTGTGAACCGCTGTGAGTCGCCTTTGGGCTGAGAACAGCGGTATATAAGTAAGGTAAATAAATAAATAAATAAATAAATAAAAGTATAATCATATTTATAAATGTGCAGTCGTGCAGTACTATTATTTTATTAATTTGTATCCCAGTACTGAACGCAGTGGGTGGTGCAGTGGTTAAACCACTGAACTGCTGAACTTGCTGACTGAACAATTGGCAGCTCGAATCCAGGGAGCAGGGTGATTCCCCGCTGTTAGGCCCAGCTTTTACCAACATTTGAAAATATGCAAATGTGAGTAGATCAATAGGTACTGCTTCTGCAGGAAGGTAATGGCGCTCCATGTAGTCATGCTGACCACATGACCTTGGAGGTGGCTATGGGCAACACCGGCTCTTTGGCTTAGAAAGGGAGATGGGCACCACCCTCCAGAGTCGGGCACAACTAGACTTCATGTCAGGGGAAATTTATTTCGTTACTTCATTTATACCCAACCTTTCTCTATATTCACAGGGGAACATAGAACCAAATCTCAGCAGATACCTATTTATTTATGTATTTGTTTACTTCATTTATACCTGCCTTTCTCCCTCTCAGGGGAGTCAAGGTGGCTTACAACTCTGGTACAATTCAATACCGATAAAAAACAATAACTTATCCCCATTGAAATGATTAATAATTAGTCAATGAACAGTAAACAGATTAAAACATATAAAGTGCATAGTTCCGTTTGTCCAAGATCCTTAACCCATTACGCAAAGTAAGCATTTGCAGTATAGTTGATTTTGCCCAGGGCGCTCTTGAGGCACTCTTGGGGGAAAATAGACCTTGACATATGCGAGTTGTAGTTGCTGGGATGTATAGTTCATCTACAATCAAAGAGCATTCTGAACTTCACCAATGATGGAATTGAACCAAATATAGCACACAGAACTCCCACAACGAACACAAAATATATATCAGTGATTGGTTGGGGGGGGGGGGGCAAAATACTGTTTGCTTACCGTTGAAAATTACCTAGGGCCACCTCTGGCCACCCTCCCCTTTTTCCCCTTCCCCAACCCACCAGTAGGTATTGTCCCTTTCCTGCTACCACCTACCCCCTTTTTTGAACCCGCCCCTTTTTACAAATCCCCCCTTTTCCCTCCCCAACTTTCAACTCGCTACTGTTACCCTCCCCTGCTACATTCCTCCGCAAATAATCTGTCTCTCTTATCTTGCCCGAGTTTTAAATTAGTTTTAATTAGTCTCTTTAATCATTACATTAGCACCGGGATTGTGGCGCAGCTGGCTGAGTGTCAGCTGCATTAAGATCACTCTGACCAAAAGGTCATGAGTTCGAAGCCAGCCCGGGTTGGAGTGGGTTTCCAACTAATTGTGTAGCCTGTTGTCGACCTTTGCAACCCGAAAGACAGTTGCATCTGTCAAGTAGGAAAATTAGGTACCACCTTAAAGTGTGAGGAGGCTAAATTAACTATTTATTTATTTATTTATTTATTTATTTATTTATTATTTAAACTTATATGCCGCCACTCCCCTGGGGCTCGGAGCGGCTTACAAGAATAGCTAAAATCTAACAAAGTTTAAAAGCAATTTAAAACAATTTAAAAACAACAGTATCAAACATTAAAAGCCTGTCGGAACAGGTATGTCTTACATGCCCTGCGGAAAGCTGGTAAGTCCCACAGGGCACGAACTTCAGGTGGCAGAGCATTCCAGACTGATGGCGCCACTGCTGTGAAGGCTCTGCGTCTGGTTGCCGTTAGACGCAAGGTCTTGACACTGGGGACTTCCAATAGATCTTGGTCCTCAGAACGGAGGATCTCTGGGGTTGGTAGGGGGTGAGGTGGTCCCTCAGATACATCGGCCCCAGACCATGCAAGGCCTTAAAGGTGAGTACCATCACTTTGAAAGTGATCCGGTGCTCAATTGGTAACCAATGCAGCTGTAGTAAGATTGGTGTTATGTGGCATCTCAATTGGTGTTATGTTTACTAATTTATGAGGCCATCAAAAAAAGACTCCAGCAAGCACGCCAGTAAAAAGCATGCGGGGAATGCGGAAGTTCTTCATCAGTGTCGCAGATGGATGATGAAAGCGACAGCTCCCCTGGTGGCCAGAAAAAAAGTTAAATAGCCTCTGTCTATGTCTGTATATGTTGTATGTCAAAATTGGCATTGAATGTTTGCCATATATATGTACACTGTAATCCGCCCTGAGTCCCCTGCGGGGTGAGAAGGGCGGAATATAAAAACTGTAAATAAATAAATAAATAAATACATGCAGCCCGCCCATTGTCATTGTGATTGTGTCTATTGTAATTTTATATTGCTATATATTTACATTTTTTTAATGATGTTGCAGTTTACTGTTTGCGTTTTAGGTTGTGTTTTGGTTTTATTCTTATTGTAATTTGTTGTTCGGGCTTGGCCTCATGTAACCCGTTCCGAGTCCCCATTGGGGAGATGGTGGCGGGATATAAATAAAGATTATTATTATTATTATTATTATTATTATTATTATTATTATTACATTCCCCCACACTGATTTTTATGTCACCGAAAAAACTTTCAATAAAGATATATTTAAAAATTCCTGAAAGATCATAAAACTGTTACTCTAAAATCCACAGATAATTTTGTAATATTAAATTACCCTTGGAAAGATGGTTGACATACAGGGGCGGCTCAACCCATTAAACAAAGTAAGCCTTTGCAGTATAGTTGATTTTGCCCAGGGGCGCTCTTTAGGTGCTCTTGGGGGAAAATAGACCTTGAAATATACGAGTTGTAGTTACCGGGATGTATTGTTCACCTACAATCAAAGAGCATTCTGAACTCCACCAATGATGGAATTGAATCAAATATGGCACACAGAACTCCCATGACTTAACAGGAAATATATATCAGTGATTGGTTGGGGGGTGGGAAGACTGTTTGCTTACTGTTCAAAATTACCTAGGGCTGCCTCTGTTGACATACTGGGTTTTGAGTAACATCTGTACAATTCGAATGAGAAGTTTTCCATGGGAAGCTATTGTCCAGAAAAAGCTATCTTTCCTTCTGAAAGTATTGTAATAAAGCATGGTGGAAGCAGGCAGACACACAACCCTTTCCATGGAAAGTCCCCAAGTCTTTGCTACTTTCCGTGTGTCTTCTATTTCCCAGCACATTTCTAGGTGTAGCAGGAAAACAGTGGGGCGTACACCTTCCCAACATGAAGCCCTGCATGAGACATTAACAACAGTTTATGCAAGATTAATAGTCAATTAATAATGAATTTGAAACTTACTCAACATAGTAAGTGCCATAAATGGGATCATCAATTTTCTCCCAGCCATATGGTAGCTCTGAAAAACAAAGAATAATACCTTTCAGTAAATACAACACTGGATGCCAAGATTCCTAATAATAATGAAAGAATAATGTTGTCATCTGTGGCAACTGTATAACGTAGTTAAATATAGTGCTCAAAACCAAGGCCAAATTTTAGAAATATTCCATGGCATTAACAACTAGCATTGGCATGAAAACTAGCATGGCAATCCAGAGTAATCAATGCCTAAGAAGAATAAATTTTAGTTTCTCCATTACTGTGCAGTTGTTTGCCAGATACAGTAACACATCATCTGTGATATTATTATCTGGGGAAATTAGGGAGAGTGTTTGCAGAGTTGGAAGAAACTAGCTACAAGCAATTGTAATTAATTCATTTTTGCGGCAACTAAGGCAGAACTAACTTATGGTACAGCTGTAACATAATGAGGATAATGGTAATTCTTTTGCAAAGCAAGACAGTTTTTACTGGTTTTATAGTTACATGTGATCTAAAAGTGTCTTCACTATTTTAGATACATAATCTGTAGCATTCTGATATTTAATCTAAATAAATAAAAATGTAATGTTCGTTTGTGGTATTCACAGAACTCAGAAACCACTGGACGAATTGACACCAAGTTTGGACACAATACGCCTAACAACCCAATGTATGTCCTTCACTCAATTTTTTTTGATTTCATCATTTGGGAGTTGTAGTTCTTGGGATTAGTAGTTCACCTACAATCAAAGAGCATTCTGAACTACACCAATGATGGAATTGAAGCAAAGGTGACACACAGGACTCCCATGACCAACAGAAAACACTAGAAGGGTTTGGGGGGCATTGACCTTGAGTTTGGGAGTTGTAGCACACCTACATCCAGAAAGCACTGTGGACTCAAACAACGATGGATCTGGACCAACCTTGGCACGAATATTCCATATGCTCAACTAGAAACACAGATGGAGCTTGGGGGAAATAGACCTTGACATTTGGGAGTTGTACTTACTGGGATTTATAGTTCACCTACAATCAAAGAGCATTCTGAAGCCCATGAATGATAGAATTAGGGCAAACTTCCCACACAGAACCCCTATGACCAGTAGAAAATACTTAAGGCCACCCAGTCCAACTCTCTTCACCAGGGCAAGAAAACGTAATCAAATATTGTTTACCCACAAGCAGAAAGAAATTACATATATTAAAAACCAACACTTTCTAATTACTTTATTTTCCAGATCACCAGATTGGGCCACAGCAACGCGTGGCAGGGGACGGCTAGTAAGAAGATAAATTAACTATTTCAATCTTTTAATCAACAAAAGACCAGTTATTTTTATTAATAATAATAATAATAATAATAATACCACTTTATTTATATTCCGCCCTTCTCACCCTGAAGGGGACTCAGGGCAGATCACAAGTACACATACACAGCAAACATTCAATGCTGTTTGTATAGACCAGGGGTCCACAAACTTTTTAAACATTAGGAAGAACTTCCTGACTGTGAGAGCTGTTCAGCAGTGGAACTCTCTGCCCCAGAGTGTGGTGGAGACTCCTTCTTTAGAGGCTTTTAAACAGAGGCTGGGTGGCCATCTGTTGGGGGTGCTTTGAATGCAATTATCCTGTTTCTTGGCAGGGGGTTGGACTGGATGGTCCATGAGGTCTCTTCCAACTCTATGATTCTGTGATTTTAGTGGAGCAAAAGAGAGCTCTGATCAAGGGTAATGCCTATTCAGGAAATACAGCTATCACTCGGAATTAACTTCCTTTGACTTTGTATCATAGCCTGTACTATTTTTTTAAAAAAAGATATTTTATTATATTATAAACACAAACAATAAGCCAAATACTAAGTGTTACACATATAAATCCTAAATAATTCAACAAATATTAAAGGCATTATGCTAATTTACACTGGTGTATATTACATTTTCTCCACCTTCCCTCCCTCTCCCTCCCTCCCCCCTCCCTCTTCAACCACAGTATATTTCTAGCTAATCTTGCAGATCCAGCCACTGGTAGAGTCTTTGTATTTTTTCTTTGATGTGATCGTTGGCTCCTCCATTCTTGGTGCTTGGTTAGTCATAATTCCCGTAATATCTAACAACACTTGGTCATACATATAATCATTCCAATTACTTAACGTCCATTTCGATTTGTCTTTCCATCCTCTAGCAATCACTGCATGGGCTGCTCTTATTGTTACCTTAAATAACTCCTGGCAATTACTTATTATACTCGGATGATCCAACACTCCCCAAAGTAGCAAATCATTATTAATTTGAATTTTTATCTGGAATATCTCCTGAATTTTTCCTTGTATCATTTGCCAGAATTTTTTTATTTCAGAACACTCCCACCACATGTGTGAATAAGTACCTTTTTCTTTATTACAATGCTAACACTTTGAATTCTTTCCTTTTACCATAGAAGCCAATTGTGCATAGAGAGGTCAACCCTCCTGTTCAAGGAGCTCCACTGGCTGCCGTTTATTTTCCGAGCGCAATTTAAGGTGCAGGTGCTTACCTACAAAGCCCTAAACGGTTTGGGACCATCCTACCTGTGTGACCGCATCTCCGTTTATGAACCCACGCGCTCACTTCGATCATCCGGAGAGGCCCTGCTCGTGATTCCACCTGCGGTTGGTGGGGACGCGAGACAGGGCCTTTTCTGTGGTGGCCCCGACTCTGGAACACCCTCCCCAAAGATCTTACACAGGCCCCTACATTGGCAGTCTTTAGAAAGAACTTGAAGACCTGGCTGTTCCGATGTGCCTTCTCAGATTAGGAAATCTCCAATACCAAGTCCCAGAAGCACTTTACTAGAATTGAGATTGCCACACACTGCACACTGCACTTACCCGATAATCCTTACATATCACCTGTCACATCAGCACTTTTAACCTTGTACCCATTACTCTGGCCCAGCCCAGTTTTATAGTGTTTTGTTGTATTGTTTATTGTTTGTTGTTTAATATGCTTTAACTGTTTTTAATTTGCTTTAGGTTTTGTATTGTTATGTTGTGTTTTGAGGCCTTGGCCTATGTAAGCTGCATCGAGTCCTTCGGGAGATGCTAGCGGGGTACAAATAAAGTTAATGATAATAATAATAATAATAATAATAATAATAATAATAATAATAATTGTTCGGGAGTTCTATACCATCTTAATATCATCTTTTTTTCTAATTCATTATATTGTTCTATTTTTATTTTATTCATGTTCGTAATTATTTCCTCTATTTCTTTTGTCTATAATGATTTAACTCCATTCCATTTGTTACTTACTGCTCTAATCATAAACTCTTTTTCTTCTACCATTAAATTATATATTTTCGCCACTGTTCCTTTACTTGTCTTTTCTCTTGCATTTAGCCATTTATCTAACTTTAGTTCTTCAGTGGGCTGTGCACCCTCTTTTTTTTTTACTTTTTCCCAAATCCCTCTTAATTTTAACCAACTTTCTTTTCCTTCTTTTTCCAAAAACTCTGGCCAATTAATTATCTCTCCATCTTGTTTCCACATATCTTTTACCCTCCTTAATCCCTTTTCTTCTAAGTTATTTGCTAACCTTTTGGAGAGTCCCATGCTCTTAATTGGAGCCTTTCCTGATATTTTATATGCCAATAGTTTTGGCCATTTTTGCCAACAGTCATATGCTACCTTTCTCGGCCCTGTTAGATTTTCCTTTATTTTGTTAATATCTCTGGTCTATAACCCGTATTTTCTCCATCCTACATTTATTTCATTCTCTACTTTTATCCATTTATCTTCTCCCTTTAAACTTATTTCTAGTAGTGCTCTTAATTGGAAAGCCTCATAATAATATTGTAGATTTGGAAACCCCCATCCGAGAGTTCTTGCTGCAGTCAAGGAGAAAGACTATTTTCAACTCACAATCTCTCTCTCTCTCTCTCTCTCTCTCTCTCTCTCTATCTATCTATCTATATATATATATATATATATATATATAAATGCTCTGTGCATAATGAGTACCTTAAAAACAAAAGAACCAATGAACGAAATCACACCAAATTTGGCAACAAAATGTCTCACAACACAAGGAGTGACCATCACTCAAAAATTATGATTTTGTCATTTGGGAATTGTAGTTGCTGGGATTTATAGTTCACCTACAATCAATTGAACCAAACTTGGAATTGAACCAAACTTGGCACACAGAACTCCCATGACCAACAGAAAATACTGGAAGGGTTTGGTGGGCATTGACCTTGAGTTTGGGAGTTGTAGTTCCCCTACATCCAGAGAGCACTGTGGACTCAAACAATGATGGATCTGGACCAAACTTGGCACGAATACTCAACATGCCCAAATATGAACACAGATGGAGTTTGGGGAAAATAGACCTTGACATTTAGGAGTTGTAGTCACTGGGATTCACAGTTCACCTACAATCAAAGAGCATTCTGAACCCCACCAACGACAGAATTGGGGCAAACTTCCCACACAGAACCCCCATGACCAACAGAAAATACTTAAGGCCATCCAATCCAACTCCCTTCACCAGGGCAAGAAAACGTAATCAAAGCCCTCCCGAGAAAGAGCCATCCAGCCATATATATATATATATATATATATATATATATGATTTGCACACACACAGAAAAAGTATTATAGATTTGAAAGGACTCCTAAAGATGGACAATTATATGTTGCATGTTCCAGAGTAGGCAAACCAGACAATCTCTGCATCAACACTGTCAAAGAAACATCAAGAAATACTGTTTACCCACAAGCATAAAGATATTACATATATTAGAAACCAGCACTTTCTAATTACTTTATTTTCCATATCACCAGACTGGGCCACAGCAACGCGTGGCAGGGGACCGCTAGTAATAAATAAATATCGCCATAACTGAAACAAAACAAATAAGAAACAACTAGTATTGGGAAGAGGTGTTTCTCTAGATCTATATTAACTCTGCACAACCCCTTTTTTAATGCCAAAAAACATTTGCTACAGGTTATCCACAACATTTATCAATTTGAGAAACTGTCTGTCC